CAATTTAAATAGAAACTATCATATGCACTAAAATATATGCTAAAAAAATGGTCACGTAAACATGAAAGAAAACAAACTTGTATGCACTACGAAGGTATGCACACATGTTCTCCCTTTCCAAAACTCTAAAGTTGTGCCATTAGAACTTGCATTATGATCGACAACAATCCACATCAATCATTCCTATTTAAAGTATAGTTTGATAACTGTACGAAATCTAGTAAAGCACTTAAGTTGATCATTGAGAGATCATAGGGAAGATATTTAAATTTCTCCAAGGTTCAAGACAAAAAAGAGAAAAGAAGTAAAAAAAAAAACTTACACAATTATACCTTAAATCAAGTAAAATATTATTCCCTTACAAAAAGCTCGCCTGAAGGTAACTTCATAACTGATAGATTACACCGTTATAAGCCACCCAAATTTCGACATACTGGTCTCTACTCCACCACCTTAATGTACCGCAAATCAATAGGGAATATCTAACCTCGTGACACACCGGTTAAACAGCGTGAAAATTTCAAGGAACAAAAAACTTTAATAAGTAACTGGCAACAAAGGAGTCACATACCTGCAATAATGACAAGTCAACCAATTATAGGAAAAGACCAAATCATATTTCTATCTCCTACCCCCTCCCCACAAACAATTAGTAAAGAACAATATAAATCATAAGTATTTTAAATAGAAAGCATCGTACGCAATAAAATATATGTAAAGGAAATAATCATTTAGACAAACAAGAAAACGACCCGTGTGCCCTACAAAGGTATACACACATGTCCTCCCTTTCCCTATTTGCTCAGAGTGCACCTAGTGCTAATGAACTATCTGGTAAGTTTCTTCAAGAGGCATGGGATGTGATTAAGGGGGGTGTGATTAAGGAGGATGTGGTGGATCCTCTGAATTTTTTCTTGAGGGGGGAAAGTACCTAGATTAGTCAATGCTACACTCTTAACCTTGATACCTAAAAAGCCTAATCCTATGTCCTTTATTGATTTTAGGCCAATTAGTTTTTGCAATTTTCTTCATAAAATTTATACCAAACTTTTGGCAAATAGGCTTGCTCCTTTGTTACCTGTGTTAGTGTCAAGTGAACAAGTGAACAACATGGCTTTGTTAAGGGAAGATGCATTAGTGAGTGTATTTCTCTAGCACAACTAATTTTTGGTGAATTGAATAGGAAGGTGGAGGCAGGCACCTTATTTCTTAAGTTGGATATGATTAAAGCCTATGATAGGCTAGCGTAGGACTCTTTGTTGAGAGTTCTAGCTAGCTTTGGGTTTTCAGAGTCATTTGTGAAGATCATTGCTAACTGTTTGGAGAACCAATACATCTATGTTTGCTCAGCGGGCAAAAGAGAGGTTTTTTCCCCTCTTCTAGATTTCTTAGGCAAGGAGATCCCATTTCTCCTTGCCTGTTTATTCTTCATGAAGAAGTACTAAGTAGGGGATTGAGGAAATTATATCTGGATGGGTTGATGAAAGGGTTTCATCTGGGAAGGGGTTCCTCTTTGGTCAGTCACTTCTTGTTTGCTTATGACACCCTGAACTTTTTGAGGGGTTATAAACAGTCAATGGTGAATTTGTTTGCTTTTGTTAATAGGTATGAACTGAGTTTTGGACAAAGGGTTAGTCTCCAAAAGAGTTCTATGTATTGTTCTAAGCATATTACTATGTCAAGGAAGCAGGAATATATTGACTGGAGTGGCTTGTATTCCTATTAAACAGTGTCCATATACATATCTTGTTTTGTCCAATTATAAAAGAAAGAGCTAGGATCAGATTTTTTGAAGAGATATTGTTTAAGTTTAGGCAAAGGTTAGAAGGATGGTATGCAAGGATGTTATCAAATATGGGCAGGATTTTACTTGTTCAGTATGTGCTGAGTACTGTTCCTATCCATTTGCTGCCCTGCTTGAACTTGCCAAAGACTATCATCTCTAAGCTTAATGCTTTAATGGCAGGATTCATTTGGTCTAATAAGATGAGTGTGAGGAAAAGACACTGGATTTCTTGGGGGAAGTTGACTTTGCCTAAAAAGGAGGGTGGTTTGGGATTGAGGAAGTTTGAGGAGGTGCAGATGGCTTTCTGAATGAAGCAGGGCTGGAGTTTATTGCAAGGAACTTCTCTTTGGGCCAAAGTTTTTTCTGCCAAATTCTTGAAGGGGAAGCATTTATTGAGATGCTCAGGGAAGAATCACTTTAAATGCCTTGAGATGCTTAGACCTTATTTTGAAAGGGTGCTCGTGCAGTCTAAGAAGATAATTGGTGATGGTACTCACACAGACATGGTCCTTTGTCGTGTAAAGTGGAGGATTTGCCACAAAGTTTCCCTAAGATTTCAGAGTTGGTTACAGGTTCTCAGTGGCAGTTGGGTGCAGTGGAGGATTTCCTGACTGAAGAGCTGAGGCATGAGGTTGTGAATTCTGATCTGATGTTATCTGGGACCTATGATAAATTGGAGTGGCAGAGCTCTTGTGCTGGTAATTTCTCAGTTAAAGCAGCTCAGCAGATGAGTAGGTTAAAGGGAGGTTTGAATGCTACAGNTTATCTGGGACCTATGATAAATTGGAGTGGCAGAGCTCTTGTGCTGGTAATTTCTCAGTTAAAGCAGCTCAGCAGATGAGTAGGTTGAAGGGAGGTTTGAATGCTACAGCTGCTGGCATTTGGGATATTCAGACTGCCCCTACTCCTAGTGCTCAGCTAGTAGGTTGGAAGATTTTAATGAAGGCTTTACCTCTGGATGATAGAGTTAAGCAAATTGGCATTCCTGTGGTAAGTAGGTGTTGTTAGTGTTATCAGAAGGAGAAGAATGCTGAGCATCTATTTGTTGGATGTGCCATCACATCTGCTATTTGGAGTAGGTTGGCTGGCCTACTAGGCTATCAACTTATTGCAGGTGAATGTCCTTTAGTGAGACTTAGAAGGATTTGGAGGGTGTACAAGAAGCATTCAGTGGCTCATGGCTTAGTTAGAAGCATTCCTCTTTTGGTATTTTGGCAGGTTTGGAAGGAAAGATGTAGGAGAGTTGCTAGGAAGGGAAGGCTGCATTCCTACTCTGTTTTCTTGAAGATTTGCAGCATCATGAGGTATCAGGGGAGGAAAGTGAGAGTTACGGTGATGGTATTGCCTTGTTGCAATGGCTCAGGGTGGAAGTGGCCTACCAAATTGTCTTGAGAAATGAATGGGGGAGAATGTCTTAACTGGATCTCTCTATTATGGTGTGGATACAAATATGGCAGCAGAGTTTAAGGCTCTGTTAGATGGTTTAAGGATGGTAAGGGAGTAAGGTTTGTTTGCTTATAGAATCTTGATTGAATCAGATTCTCTCGTCTTAGTGGATTCTGTTTTGGGGAAGAGTGAATGTGCTTGGAATTGTTTAGGAATTCTTGCTCAGATTAAGGTGTTTTTGGGGCAGATGGAGTTCCAGTTGAGGCATGTATGTAGAGAGGTAAATTGTGTGGCAGACTGCTTGGCAAAGAAGGCAGTTCAGGGCAGCTTCTCAGCAGATTATTCTGGGCCTGTTCAGCTGCCTAATCCTGTGAAGCTACTGCTGATGCAAGACTGCAGGAAGCTTCCAGTTTTGAGATCCAAGTGTATAGTGGTTCAGATTTGGTTGTTGATGGTGATACTGGCAGGAGGTGGTTTTTTTGGTAGTTTTTATACTTGGTATTGTAAAATGATTGGGCCAAAGTGGTCTATCTTGGTTCTTGTAATTCTTTGAGGTGTTGGCTGTATAGCCTTAGCTTCTTGATTCTTGTAATTCTTGGTTTAATTGAATAAAATTCTTTGTCTTTAAAAAAATAAATACCTAAAACCCTAAACCCCTAACCCTAACCCCCCCTATAACCCTAAACCTTGAAAACACAAACACATATAAATACAGAAATACTATAAAATTATTGGTTGTGTACAAAATGAACACAACAACAAAAAATAAAAAAGAAACAACGAGTTATTCAGAGCGTTGGGAGTTGGAAGTAATACAAGAATGATCATAACAAGTAAGAAACACAAAAAGAAAAAAAAGTAGTCATCTGTAAAACACATTTTACAAAATAAAGGAAGCCAATGACATGAGAAAAACAGATATACTTATCTTTTCACTCTCAAACTCATTTTGCAGATGCATCTCTATCAAGTTCAACCCTCCTTATTCCTTCATTAACTATAATCCATTTCACAAACAACTGAAAGGAAGACACATCAAATTACTTATGTAAAGAGAAAATGAAAAAAGTTGTCAAGACAATAAAGAGCAATAAGGAAAAAAAAACGAGTGACATGTCCACTAACTTATTCGACAAACAAATATTTATAATATAAAATAGGGCAAGCTTCAATAAACTCATCCGACGATCTCAATTAGACTCATCTAATAGCCACCAACATCCCTCTCAAAATCATTCACATTGCACAGTACTTTTAGACACGGATTACCCCTAATATATACATACTAGATTGCATGCACTACATACTTACACAACATATACAACATTTAAGCACACAAAGTACACTCCAAGCAAAGTAAATCGATAAATTTGCTAATCATTATTAACACGAATCACAATCATACATATCATGGAAGCATAACTCCTCTTATGATCTACTACGCATTATAAGTTTGTCTAATTAATCCATCTCTCACACCGAACTACCAAAGTTTTATTTGAAGGCATTGGAAAATAAAAAAGACAACAGTATCAATTGACCAAGTGATAAATTCAAAATAAATATTAGTTAGCCATATATTACTAAAATCCTAAACCTAAATCCTAAACCCCTAATCCCTTACCCCTAACCTTTTTTTGTTTTTCAAACCAGGAAGAAAAAGGCAAACATTACTGCCTTTACAACAAATTCAAACCAAAATCTCAAAAAAGCAACGAAAGAATCAAAGAATATAGATTCTTCATACTAGCAGTTACTCAGGATTTTGAATCTGCATCGAACAAGACCAGCACCTGCTTAACCACAGGAAAGCATATTTGATCTTGCATCAGCATCGAAAAAGACCAGCAGGCTGCATAGAATCAGAGAAGTCAGACACTTCCTTCACAGCAGCAGAACACACTGCCATGTCCCACATCACCCACCAAACTTCAGCAGACATTCCTTTAGCCAAAATCATCAAAACCACCCTTGCTTTGGTTCTCAAAACTGGCAATCTCCTCTGATCCTGCAGCATCCACAACTTCACATCAGCAAGCAACTGATGGGCAGAAAAATCAGAAGAAAAGCCATCCTGAACTGCCCTATTTGCAAGCCCATCTCCAATTGAATTTGCTTTTCTAAAGACATGCTCCAACCTGTACACTGCCTTACTAAGAAGGTGCCTAATTGAGCAAGAATACCTAAAAAAGGCCAGGCACACTCCATCTTCCGCTTCACAGTATTTATTAAGACCAAAGAATCTGATTCAGTGGATATATAAATACACAAACAAACCATAACTGTCCACCATACTTAAACCATTCAATAGGGCTCTAAATTCAGCTTCTATGTTAGAACAAACACCATAGAAGAAAGAACCAGCCAACACCATACCTCCCCATCAACAAGGATCAAAATATCGTTTCGAAACAAACAAAACATCCGAAATGTTTCCGTTTCCAAGGAGACCGAAACGAATCAGTGATATAATCGAAATTCTAATATTTTGAGGTATTTCATAATGTTTCGAGATGTATTATAATATTTCAATGTATTTGCACAATTGTTTTGAAATGTTTCAAGGTATTTTAATATACTTTGATATATTTAAATCCATGTTTTAGAAAAACAATTCTTAAATTTTTTATTTTTTTCATTATGTTTTCGAAACGGGTCAAAATGTTTCCGTTTCCTAGGTGACCAAAACAATACACCAAAACAAAATTTTAATCCTTACTCCCCTTTCATTTCTCAAAATAGCACCACCCCTGCTAAACCAAGATTTCCCTTAGTAGCTCCATCCACATTTAATTTCAGCATCCCAAGACTAGGATACTCACAATAGACCCAAAATGCTCTAGTAAACAAAACAAAAGGCACCACAATACCCAAAGCTTGCATCAAAGCCTTCCCATTACCACATCCTCCAGCACCTTAGCTCTAACATTCCTCACCTGAAACCTTAACAAACTGCAGAGTTTTAAGAAAATAGAGTAGGAATTAAGGGCACCTTCATCAGCTCTTCTTCTACACCTTTCTTTCCAAACTTGCCAGAAAAGCAGCAATGGCACACTTCTCACCAAACTATGACTTACAGCTCTTCTAAAAATTCTGCAGATCCTTTGCATTCTAACCAAAGGCCTCTCCTCTACAATAATCTGGAAGCCAATCATAGCAGCAAGTCTACTCCAAATTGACCCAGCATATTCACAATCAACAAACGAGTAGCATTCTCTGCCTCTTTACAGCACAAGCAACACCTACTCACCATTAGAATCCCCAACATCTGAATTCTAGAATCCAAAGGAAGAGCCCTCATAAGCAATTTCCAGTTCACCAATTGGGAACTGGGCGCTATAGACACACCCCAAATTGCTCCAGGAGACCTATTCCTCTCCCCCCGATGCTTGACCAATTGCCATGCAATCTTAACAGAGAACAGACCATTTCTAGAACATTGCCACACCAACTTATCAGCAGCATCAAACAAAATCACCTCAGAACTCATAATTTCCTCCTTTAACTGTTCACTGAGCATACCCCCAACTTCATCCAACTGCCATTGAGACCCCACCATCATGTCAGCAACTTTAGGAAATTGCAGAGGCATTACCTCTATACTGCACAACAAAGGCCCCCTCACCTATCCAATGATCACACCAAAAATCAGCCATCTTGCCATTACCTATCACCATCCTGAACTGTGACACCACCTTCTCAAAAAAAGGCCTTAATGCTTCAATGCTTTTAGAATTTCCTTTTCTCACACACCTTAACAAATGAATGCCCTTTAAGAATTGAGCTTAAGCAATCTTACCCCAAGACACCAAATGCCTCCTTCTAACAGCGGGCTTATTAGACCAAACAAACCCTGCCATCATGGCTTTAGACAAATTCAAACAGGCAAAAAGGTGAACTGGAACAGCACTCACTAGAAACTGTACTAACAAGACCCTGCCCATATTCTATAGTCATCTAGCATACCACCCCACCAACTTCTAAACAAAACCTCCTCAAAACCTAACCCCTAAACCTAAAACCCTAGAAAACACAAACACATATAAGTAAATAAAATGCTATATAATTATTGGTTGTGTACAAAACAAAAACAACAACGAAGAATAAAAAAAGAAATAGTGGGTTAATCAGATTGTTGGGAGTTGGAAGTAATATAAGAATCATTATAACAAGAAAGAAACACAAGAAGGAAAAAAAAATAGTCACCTATAAAATACATTTTGCATAAAAAAGAAATCCAATAAAAGTGGGACAACCAGATATACTTATCTTTCCACTATCAAACTCGCTTTGAGACACATCGGTATCCAGTTCAACCTTCCTTATTCATTCACAAGCTTGCTTCCATTCCACAAATAACTGGAAAAAAAAAAGGCACATTAGATTAGTTATGTACGGAGAATTTGAAAAAACTTTAAGACAACAAAGAGCAATAAAGAAAAAAAAAGAATGAGTGACAAGCATATATATATATATAAACTAGATTGCACGATCCACATGCTTACCCAACACATACAACATTTAAACACACAAAGTACACCAAAACAAGCAAAGGACATCAATAAATTTGCTAATCATCATTAACACAAATCGCAATCATACATATCATGGAAGCATAACTCCTCTTATAATCTACTAAGCATTAGAAGTTTGTCTAATTGATCCATCTCTCAAGCTCCACATCTAAAGTTTCATTTAAAGGGATTGAAAAATAAGAAAGATAACAATATCAACTGACCATGTAATAAATCCAAAATAAATATTAGTTAGACATACATCCCTAAAACCCTAAACCCTAAATCCTAAACCTAGCCCCTAGCCCCTAACTCCTAAACACCTAAACCCCCTATAACCCTAAACCCTATAAAACACAAACACAAACACATATAAGTAAAAAAATGCAATTATTGGTAGTGAACAAAACGAAAACAACGAAAAATCAAAAAGAAATAGTGGGTTAGTCAGTGCGTTGAAGGTAGGAAGTAATACAAGAATGATCACAACAAATAAAAAAGACAAAAAGAAAAAGGAAATAGTCATCTATAAAACACATTTTGCAAACATGACAAAAAAGCCAATTTTAGTGGAAAAAACTGATATACTTATCTTTTCAGTCTCAAATTCGTTTTGCAGACGCATCTATACCTAGTTCAACCATATCCTTATTCCATCTTACGCTAGCATCAATTCTACAAACAAGTGAAAGGAATGTACACTAAATTAGTTATGTACAGAGAAAATGACAAAAGCCTTCAAAACAACAACGAGCAATAAGAAACAAAAAACAAGTGACATGTCAACTCACTTATTCAACAAGCACACATATACACATACTAGATTGCAAGCACCACATACTTACACAACATATTACAACTTTTAAGTACACAAAGTACTCCAAAACAAGCAAAGGACATCGATAAATTTGCTAATCATTATTAGCACGAATCACAATCATACATATCATGGAAGCATAACTCCTCTTATCATCTACTAAGCATTATAAGTTAGACACACATCCCTAAAACCCTAAAGCCTAAACCCCTAACCCCTAAACCCTAACTCCTAAACACCCTATAACCCAAAACCCTATCAAACACAAACACATATAAGTCAAGAAATGCTATATAATTATTGGTTGTGTACAAAACGATAAAAACAATGAAAAATAAAAAAAGAACAATGAGTTAATCAGAGTGTTGAGAGTTGGAAATAATACAAGAATGACAATAAAAAGTAAGAAACACAAGGAAAAAGAAATAATTATCAATAAAACACGTTTTGCATAAAAAAAAATCCAATGGAAGTGGGACAAAGAAATATACTTATTTTTCCACTATCGAAGTCGCTTTGAGGCGCATCTCTATGCAGTTCGACCTTCTCTATTCCTTCATAAGCTAGCATCCATTCCACAAATAACTCAAAATAAAATGCACATTAGATTAGCTATGTACCGAGAAAATAAAAAAAAAAAAATGAGTGACATGTCCACTCACTTATAACACAAATCGCAATCATACATATTAAAGAAACATAACTCCTCTTATAATCTTCTAAGCATTAAAAGTTTGTCCAATTAATCCTCTCTCAAACTCTACTACCAAAATTTCATTTGAAGGCATCGATAAATGAGAAAGAAAACAGCATCAATTGACCATATAATAAATTCAAAATAAATATTAGTTAGACATACATCCCTAAAACCCTAAACCCCTAACCCTAACCCTAACCCATAATTCGTAAACAACCTTAAACCCTATCAAAGGCAAACACATTAGAAAAAAAATGCTATGTAATGATTGGTTGTGAACAAAACGAAAACAACAATGAAAAATTAAAAAAAAAAAAACAATGGGTTTATCAGAGCATTGGGGGTTGGAAGTAATACAACAATGATCATAACAAGTAAGAAAGACAAAAAGGAAAAATAAATAGTCATCTATAAAAACACATTTTGCGAAAAAAAGGAAAAAGAAAGTCAACTGAAGTAGGAGAAACTAATATACTTATTTTTTCACTCTCAAATTCGCTTTGCAGATGCATCTTTATCCCATTTAACCCTCCTTATTCCTTCAAAAGCTAGCATTCATTCTACAAACAACTGAAAGGAAGACACATTAAATTAATTATATACAGAGAAAATGAAAAAAGCCTTCGATACAACAAAGAGCAATAAGAAAAAAAAGAACTACTAACATATCCACTCACTTATTCGACAAGCACATATATATACATACTAGTTTGCATGCACCACATACTTACACAATATATACAACATTTTAATTTTAAGTACACAAAGTACTCCAAAACAATTAAAAGACATCGATAAATTTGCTAATAATTATTAACACGAATCGCAATCATACATATCATGGAAGCATAACTCGTCTTATCATCAACTAAGCATTATAAGTTTGTCCAATTGATTTTTCTCTCAAACACCACTACCAAAGTTTCATTTGAAGGCATTGGAAAATGAGAAAGATAACAATATCAATTGACAGTGTAATAAATTCAAAATAAATATTAGTTATGTTAAAGTTG